TGGCTTGCAGTTTCGAGCACCATCACCTATCCAGGTTACACCAGTGCCTGCACCCTCTGTTTATCCTCCTGTGCAATCTCCATCTGCTCATTCGTCACAACAATATGGAGTAATACTTGCAAGGCCTTCATTGCTGTCAAGCCCATATGTTCCCGGCCCTTATGGTCCTATGTTGGTTTCCCCAGGCATTTTCCCAAGTTGGAGTCCTTACCCAGTATGAACCCTTCTCTTGGTCTTACTTGCCATTTTGTTTAATTTTATCTCCGTGCACTTAATGGAGCTGTTAACAACTGGTGCAGGCACCTATGAGTCCAGTAGCCTCCCCCAGTGCCCAACCTTCTGTTGGATCAGGGCCACTTTATGGTATGGCACACGTTTCACCTTCTGCACCTGTTTATGCTGGATCCTATCAGCCCATGCCATCTGCTGGTCCCTCTAGTACTAGCCAGAAGGAGCACTCATTTCCAGAAAGACCTGGCCAACCAGAGTGTCAATATTACATGAGAACAGGGGATTGTAAATTTGGATCTTCTTGTAGATACCATCACCCGCCAGAATTCGTTACTTCAAGTCCAGGTGTTGTCCTTAGCCAGCTAGGTCTTCCTCTACGCCCGGTTAGTCTCTTTTTGCACCAAAATCTGATTTGAATTAAAATGATGCTTAGATTTTGAATATTTTGTTGTCTATCTTATTTCTTGATTCACTCTCACTATCTTAACCATTCTTGCCTATCGGATGTATTTAGTGATGGACATTAGATTTTTTCTGATTCTCCACTTGCTATCTAATTAGTGAAAGTAAAAAGAAATTGCTCAATTCCAAAAATATTCTTGAAATTCTTGCCCAGGTCTATGGGGAATGCTTAATGCTCAGCCAGACATAATCTGTACTGTTCCCTATCACTGATGACTTAAGCTATAAAATTGATTATATAATGCTTTTATTGGCACTTGTTTGAATACCTGAAGAGGGAACATATCCTTCAAGAGTAGTTTCATTGTTTAGTTACAATATTTGCAGTCAGGTCTCTGTTTGAGTTCTTAACGTAGGTCATGCATTTGAGACATGTATTCTATTCTGGAAATTTTTCGTGTTGTGAAGACTAAATTATGGGGACTTTAACCTCAATATGCCTGTTGTGTTAATTGCTGAGACTGAAATTAATTTTTCAATAATTGGGATTATCTACACTACATGGACTTAGTTTTTACATCTTCCTGTCAACCATATTTTATATGTTCCTCCTCGAGATCCATGTTGGAAGAGCTCAAATAAACTTCATCTTACTAAAAAAATATATTCCCTTTGCAGATCCTCGGGTATCTTGCTTGAGGACTTTACGTAACATCGCTGTTAGATTTGAGGCACATGTAGTGCTTAAACTCCCATACATTTTCTGTATAGTTAGCGCTAAGTTACATGCTAACCTTCTTTGAGAGAGGAGAAAGGAAGCCGTTAATGGTAAACTTGTACTGCTCTGTAATTTGCATGCCAAACAACGATTGAATTTTAGTCGTCTTCTTAATCTTCCGCTATGCAGCTGCTATATGTGCAAGTTAAATGGCTTGATTGAACTTATTAACATTATTTCAAATAATGCGTTTAATGCATTTTCTGGTAGCCATTTGTCTCTAGTTTCTAAATGTTTGTACGGTTGTGTTTCCCTTTTTAGCTGCGTAGGCAGAATGGTTGCTAACGTGATCTTTTGTCAGGGTGCGCCACCTTGTACTCACTTCATGCAACGAGGAATGTGCAAGTTTGGCCCTGCGTGCAAATTCGACCACTCCATGGATCGACTTAGTTATAGTCCATCTGCATCATCTCTTGCTGATATGCCAGTGGCACCCTACCCTGTGGGATCAGTAGCCGGTACTTTAGCCCCATCATCCTCATCTTCAGAGTTGAAGCCTGAACATTTTTCAGGATCCAGAAAGGATTCTAACCCTTCAAGAATGTCTTCATCAATGAGCACCTCTACTAGTGGATTGGTTGGTTCAACTACATCGAGGACAGAAATGTATTCTCATTCAAGTGCTCAACGATCTTCCCAAACTTCTGGCCCGTCACAGAGCAGCACCTCCAGCACCACCAGTGTGGAAGGTCGTACTTGAAGCCAAGCTGCCTCAGGATCAGAGCATCCTATTTTTTGCCCAAGCCCAAAACCAAAGACCTTTTCTTTTCCTACTACAATGGTCCCATAGTCGTCCAGGTCTAGCATACCTCAGCTCTGACCTTCTGTGTCCATACAATCCTTATATTAAAATTTATCTCAGCCTGAATAAGTTATGGTCAACCTAAAAGAATGTAGCAAATTTCGTACAGCCTTCTGCCTCTGCCTTATGAATAATCCTGAAAGCAGCGATCAAATTAGGCACCTCTGCATCACGACTTCCTCTCTGGAGTTTGTGACCCATTTTTGCTGCTTTAATCACTCTTTCTCAAGACATACAAAATGGTCTGTTCCATGGTGATTTATGCCCATCTCTTTCCAAATTTTACTATGACCATAACACAAGCTTTCAAATCGAATAGAATATGAATTTGAAGCTGTGTTTATTCCCACTCGTTTTTTTCCCTCATTTATTGTGGAAAAAGATGTATTTAAGACTCTGGGAGTCATCCTAATGGCTATGTGATCTTGTACGGGATTTTAATATCACGTTACGTACTGACATTCATTGCTTGGCTTGGCTTTGGATGAATTTACAAGGTTTACATTTCAAAAGAAACGTACAAATTCTATAACAATTGCTCCTCTGTTGCGTATGATATAATAGTCCTCCTGAAATTTTGTTAACTTTAGAGCTGAAATAATTCCCCCTCTCCTAACTTTCGATATTGTCTAGAAAAATACTATGGCTACACTACAGGTTTCTTCTTGCAGTGGAAGTACGATAGCAATGATGATGCTTTCCCAACAATACAATACTTGAGGTAATTCTTGCCCAATTTGTCTTGTTCTCTTAGGAAGCAACATAGAATATTATTAATGTCTGGCTATTGAAATTACAAGGCAAGTTTCCTTGATGGCTTATATTGTTGATTCTTGGTAACAATATTGTTGATTCTTGCTCAATTTGTCTCTTTCTCTTATATTGCAATGCTGATGTATGTCTGATATCCTCAAAGCAGTTACTGTTGTTGGCTGATGTTTACCATTTCTTTTCTGCAAAAGGAAGAGAATCCAATTCTAAGCTATTCATAATCTGTGTTGAATCCTTGTATTCTGAAATAAGGCAGGTTCCTGATTTAGTTTGTCTTGAGGAGGGAGGGAACCTTTTCAGATTCAGATCTCCATTTCTTTTTCTCCTTTCTTAAGGTTACTGTTCTTTCTAGAACACTCTAGAAGAGATCCCACTTGCTGAAGTTAAGGACATGCGATGAAAAGCTTCAATCAGCTACATGGAAAGAAAATCAGTCGAAGCCCAAAGCCAAAACCAAAACCAAAACCAAAACCAAGCAGCAAAACGGGCCGAAGGCTTAGAAGAAGCATTAGAGAGCTTTTGAAGCCGAAAGGCTCTTTAATGACCATTTCTTTATCAATTAGGTGTTATTCCAATGTTCTTTTCATGGGATAGTTTTTTCGAACTTCCTACATTTTGGTCCAAAAAAAAAAAAACATATGCATCAACCAGTTAAGGTATGCGTCAATTACAGCTTTCTATGGATTTTCGAGGTATGCTATGTTTTAGAAATGATTTTCTACTTATCATGTAATTAAATTTATCGTTCATAGATTCCTATTTTTGTCTATCTCTCAAATCTAATCACATTTTTAGCTTTTGAAAATAAAAGTTCCATGTATGTTACTCTTTTTAGTTATAGGGAACGAGTGTCAGCGAGGACGTTGGACCTCAAAGGGAGTAGTAGATTGTAAGATCCCACATCTGATGGGGAGGAGAACGAAAAATTGTTTATAAGTGTGTGGAAACTTCTCCCTAGCATACACGTTTTAAAAACTTTGAAGGAGAGTTCAAAAGGGAAGATTATTGAACGTTGTCCGAATGAGCTTTTAAAATGGTGGGATCTCGATCTCGCAAGGCTCTTTATATTTTAGGAGATAGTCTCTTGTGTGCTTTCTTGTGTTTAAGTAATAAAGCTTTGTTTAGCTAAAGGATATTCCCTTTGTTGTTTTAGGGTCCATTCTTACTTTTTTGTCATTAATTTTTCTTTTCTTTTTAGTTTTTCAAAAACCTCTTGGCTCTTCCATTTATACTTTTTCATGAGTTTTATTGGATTATATAAAAGAATAAAATAGAAATATGGATTATTTAATATAACCAATCATGCCAATGCCTTCCAACTTTGTTTTGTCAATTTAAAAGGACATTCATTTATAGACAAACAAAGAAACATCCTTAGATTAGGGTAAGCTGCATATTAACATACAAATTGACCCTTAAAGATTAGGACAACTGTCCTTATCAAGCCCTTTTCACAAATATACACTCACATCACTTGAGGTTGACCTTTTTAATCCCCTAAAAATTTCCTAACTTTACGGACTTTTTAGTATTTAATGTTAGCCTACCCACGTAATTAGAAACACGTTAAACGTTCACTTTTAACACACTAAAAAAGATATGTATCTTAATCACTTGAGTGTACTAACGATAATTGAGCTATTTTCATTTTGACAAATGAGTTACGTTTCGATCGACTAAATAAATAATATCATTTTTACTTATATGTTGTAAAAAAGGCGTGACTCGTGAGAGTGAAAATTCAAAATCTCGATTTAGGTCAAAAATGCAATACCTTAAGTTGGGCTATGCTCAAATTCACGGTATACATTCAAATTGGGAGCTAGTTTGTAATAAAATTCCGAGATTGTATTTTTAAAATTTTTGACTCTTTAGGTCAAAAAAGGTTATTCAAGTGATGTTCTTATCAGAGCAAACTTTCACTGTTGACACACTTCAAAATAGAGACTGGGTATCAGTCTTACTAAAAAACATTGGAAATCCTGTCTTCATAAACTATAAAAATTCCAAAAAGATGAGAGATAGAACAGTAGTTTCAGAGCTAAAACATGGATCATCTTCATATCACAACAGGAAGACAAAAGGCAGGAAGTAGTTGCATGAACAAAAAGGGGAAAAAATAATCAAAGTAATGGATACCCAAAATCAAACACATCGCCAAAAGGAGGAGCATAAGTAGAACAAGTAGAAGACTGAGGCAACAAACCACCACAAGAACTGTTCATAAATGGATGAAAATGGAGATTTTCATCCACCATGGTAGAGGAAGAAGAAGAGGAGCTATTGATTATAGCTGAGAGTTCATCACCATTACTCTTCCAAAGTTTCTGTTCATCCCAAACTCCATCATTTGAACTATTATAAGCCATGGCTGAACCATCCAGACCTTGTGAATCAATGGAGTTTGAGGCAAAGAAGCTCAACTTTTGAAGATCATTTGAAGTAGTGGAATCTGAAGGGGGTTTCAAGCAATTATCAGGAACAATGCAGCTCAAATACCCTGAGTTTGAATCATTAGAGAACAAGAAATTGGTGTTAAGATCATCAAAAGAGGGATTTGAGGGCAGAGATTGAGTAAATGGGATGTTATTGTTCTTGTTGTTCTTGTTCGGAGTAACCATTTTAGAGTGAGAAAGAGCAGAATTAGGAAGCAAAGATTGGGCATCAAAAGCAGTGAGTAGAGAGTGGAAAGTTGAGGTGTCAGAGTAAATGAAATTGGTTCTTGCTTGAGTGCCCTTCATTGATAGGGCAGCCCTGTCATAAGCCATGGCGGCTTCATGGGCAGTGTCAAAAGTGCCAAGCCAGTGCCTCTCTTTGGTTGTTGGGTCTCTAATTTCAGCAGCATATCTGCCCCATGGCCTTCTTCTGACACCAAGGAACCTTCCGGGTTCACCTTGTTTTCTTCTGCCTCTTCTCTCTCCTCCAGTTTGAGATATTTGAGATGAGTTTCTTTGAATTAGAGCAAAACCCATTTGAGTTTGAGCAATTTCATGAACTGGGTAGGCTTTATCAGAGGCTTTGGAGGTAGCCATTAGAGCAAAAAATGAACAAAAAGAAGCAAAAAACAGAGGTTTTTTGCGTTTGGGATGAAGGGTTGAGGCAGCTCTTGAGGCTCTTTTTAAAGAAGAAAAAGGAAAGAACAAAAAAAGTACGTTGTAGAAGTCATTCTATGGAAGAACACTCTCCTTTAAGTCACTGTTTCTTATTCAATCCCTTTAATCACTCTGATATGAAACAAAAAGGTACAAATCTCATCAGATATAATATTTGAAAATGTTGATCTTTTTCTTTCCTAATTCCCACAATAGTTGGAACAATCCCTAAAAGAAAAGAAAGGAGAAAGAATGTTACGCCGTTATTGTAACAGCTTAAGCACACTGCTCGTAGATATTGTCTAATTTGGTTAGTTACGTATCGTTGTCAGTCTCATGGTTTTAAAACGCGTCTACTAAGGAGAGGTTTTCATACCCTTATAAGAAATACTTTGTTGCTCTCTCCAACTGATGTGGAATCTCACAATCCACCACTTTTGGGGGTCAGCGTCCTCGCTGGCACACTGTCCTGTGTCTGGCTATGATACCATTTGTAAAATCCCAAACCCACCACTAGTAGATATTGTCTGTTTTGACTAGTTACGTATCGCTGTTAGTCTCACGGTTTTAATAAAACGCATCTCCTAGGAAGAGGTTTCCATACACCTGTAAGAAATGCTTCGTTCTCTTCTCCAACCGATGTGGGATCTCACAATCCACCCCCTTGGGAGCCCAGCGTCCTCGCTGGCATACCGCCCGGTGTCTGGCTTTGATACTATTATTGTAACAGTCCAAGCTCACCACTAACAGACATTGTTTGCTTCGGCCCGTTATGTATTACCGTCAACCTCACGATTTTAAAATGCGTCTGCTAGGGAGAAGTTTTCACACCGTTATAAAAATCCTTTATTCCCCACTACAACCAAGGCGTAGAAACACACATTAAGATTAGTTTAAGGAATGTTTGGATGTGTTCAATATCTACAAGGCCCAAACAACCACCAGTTTGCACATGTGAGTGCGCAGTTTAAGCAAAAACAGGACCAAGAAAAGAACTTTGGCTTGTTTTTGTTGTCTACTTCATGATTTTCAAAGGGAGCAGTTGAGGTTATTCATATCTTAACAAAGAAAAACACTGAATTAATTATAATCCTAAACAAGAGCTACTCTTTTGAGGCTTTCTTGTCTGTTTTCATGCTAGCAAACCCACTTCAGCTCGATCCACCTACACGATAAAGTCGGTCAAAATATATCATATTTTAGATCTCGACTCTCGTGACGTTTTAATCTCTCTACTTTTTCATCTAAACGTAACGACGACGATATATCAAGAGGCCAAAGAAGACATGCAGTACCATATCAAGGTCCATTAGGAATTCACTTAATCATTCAACTCAAATGAAAGACAAAGGCCAAAACTATTACAAAAACCAAAGTAGAGAGACTCATAATGTATTTTGACTAAGCTATGATATGACAAAAAGTGTTTCGCATGTTTGTTTGAAGACTGACATTCCCACCAAAGCAGTACATTTGAATGAAAAAAGAGAAAAAAACAAAGAATTCAAGGGGAAAACTGGCCTACTTTGCCAGAGAATAACAGAATGAATGCCTGTAAAAAGTTGTACAATTTCCCAGCTTAGCTTTCTTTGAGACCTTTTATCAAACAGGTAGAGTGCATAACCTTGAATGAAAAGGAAAATGGGTGACTTTGTTTCTCTATGATCTCCAAAAGCAATGATAAAAAGGCTAGATAGAGTCGAGGCAAATTAAGTTGAGAAGGAGATTAAACTGGCAGCAAAACAAAAGCAAAAGGGTGTGTGTGTGGGGGGGCATCTAAATCATATGTATGATAGCAGAATTTTGAATGAACAGAACAAAGAACTCAAATTCACATGCTAAAATGGCATTGGGAATAGCATTAACCAATCATAATCCAATTGGGTAAGGCTCCTTCTTCTTGTTTCTAGCAATACCTCACAATCATGCTTCAGCCTATTTTAAACATAATGATTGAGACACATTCTGACTGCAAAAAACATCTCAACAACAAGACAAATGGCAGAAAGTAGCAAATATATATTCTATTATCTCTATAATTCAAATGCCACCGGAAGGGGTAATAGTCCAAGTCTACCGCTAGTAAATATTGTCTGTTTTTGCCGGTTACGTATCAGCATTGGCCTCACGATTTTAAAACGTGTCTACTAGAGAAAAATTTTCACACCCTCATGAGGAATGCTTCATTCCCTTCTCCAACAAATGTGAGATCAGGGGGCCCAGCGTCATCACTGGCACACTGTTCGGTGTCTCGCTCGGATATCATTTGTAACACCCTAAGTCCACTGCTAGTAAATATTGTCTACTTTGGCTCATTACATATCGTCGTCAGCCTCACAGTTTTAAGAGGTTTCCACACCCTTATAAGAAATGTTTCATTCCTCTCTCCAACCAATGTGGGATCTCATAATCCACCCTTTACAAGGCCCAGCATCCTCGCTAGCACACCGCCCGATGCCTATCTCTAATACCATTTGTAACAATTTAAACTCACCGTTAGTAAATATTGTCCCTTTTGACTCATTACATACCGTCGTGAGCCTCACAGTTTTAAAATGCGTCAACTAGAGAGAGTTTTCCATACTCTTGTAAGGAATATTCATTCTTTCTCTCCAACCAAAATGGGGTCTCATCATCCACCCCTTATGGGACCCAACTCAAGCCCACCACTAGTAAATATTGTAAATGCGTCAACTAGAGAGAGTTTTCCATACCCTTGTAAGGAATACTTATTCTTCCTCTCCAACCAAAATGGGGTCTCATCATCCACCCCTTATGGGACCCAGGTCAAGCCCACCACTAGTAAATATTGTCCGCTTTAGCCCATTACACATCACCATCAGCCTCATAGTTTTAAAACACGTCTACTAGTGAGATGTTTCCACACCCGAGAATACTTCGTTCTCCTCTCCAACTAATATGGGATCTCACCTAACCTAGGTATGCATAAAGGGTTGATTCTTTCTACCACTTCACAGTCATAGAAACAATGGATTGTATGAAGGTCCCTCCCTTGACCGATCCACTAAAATCCCAAACAGAGAAACACCCATTACCCTAAATAGGTTTTTGTAGAGACCCATTTGCCCAAATTAGAACAAAAAAAAAAGGGATTTTTAGTTGAAGACAGCACCGAAAGTGGAAGAGGAAAATGGGAAGCACATGGGAGAACCCAAGTGGGAAGCATTCCTTACCTTGAGTTCTTGCCAATTTGAAGACCACAAAGTTGGGTCAACCCTCGTCTGAAAAGGTGTGTGCGACCAAAGCCAGCCACACCTAAATTGGATGAATGTCCACTCTCTACCAACAATTTCAAACCCACCCTTTTTTCTTCCCTCTAATCATTTAATCTTCAATTTTATTCCTAAAAAGCTTAGTATGCAAAACTTTTAACTTTTTCGACGTTTGTTATTATCTCAAAAGTTGAGAGTTCGATCGACGATTATAAGATTTAAACAATAAAGTTTTAACTTTGACACTCGAGTAAAATAGGAGTACATGAACAAACCAAGACCACATTCGAACGAAAAACAATTTTGAAACTTTATAGTTAAGTATGTTTTACTTGGAGTAATCTTATGGAATGTATGCAAGTAAAGATAAGTATGTTTCAAGAACTCAGCTAAGGGAATATCGGGTCGGAAAAAATTTGATACGATTCTAAATTTTGATCGAAATATGAGGGCCTAATTGAAAATAAAAGGATAGGTTTTCTTTTGAAATAAAAAACACATAAAAAAAAACATCCTAGTTTAATGATTTGGTTGAGGGACAAGAATTCTGCACATGTTTCGAAACAGGGAAGGGCAAGTTTGGGTTTTTATTATTAATATTTTCAAAGTAGGTCGCCCGGGATTTGGGGAAAAAGATATATTTTTTTTCCTTAAAAAAACATGTTTCAATGTTTTTGTAAAAAAATTAATTTTATTTATAAAATACCCATTGTTGTTGACTTCATATTAAACATAAAATTAAAAATTCAATAATTAAATATAAAACTGAAATTTAACTAATATACATTTAATTCATATATTTTATATAAAATTATGACTACATTTTACCATGAATGGAGGTTCATGTTTTGATCGAAATAAAATAGAAAATTTTAAAATATATAGACAAAAATTGATAAAAGTTAAAAATATAGGAACGAAAATAAATATTTTAATTTCAAAAAGTGAATAAAAATAAATAAATAAATAAATAAAATAATATTTTTAGCTTAGCATGGTGGCAGACCAAAGCACTCAGTTGTAGAATCCTAGGACAAAAAAATTTGGAGCCTTTGGTCAAATGGGGGTTTGACCAATGATAATAATTTTAATTTTTTTTTAATAAAAATGGTCTATAATAAATATCAAAAACCTTTTACGTCTTTTTCGACCTTTTTTAGTTCTCGAGAAACTTAATCGTAAATGTATTTGCATTACACAGTTAAGAGATCGTTAATCTATTTAACGTATTTTTGCGCAATTTTGATAAAAATGAAAAATTATTAGGCGGTATTGTTTATTTTAAATATAAATTAAAGATTAACGTATTTTTGCGCCATTTTGATACCAAAAAAAAAAAAAAATTATAGACTATAGTGTTTATTTTAAATATTAATTAAATTATTTTCTACTTTATTATTATTACTATTATTTTATGTAGGTCCCACATATTGAATAGATTATGTAACATGGTTATACATAAGTGGGTAATATTATGGAAGAACAATTATGTCATAGTAATACTAAAAATATTATTTCAGCTCATCATACCCTACTAATCTCATTATCATTAATTCTCATCCTAAAAATAATTAAAAAAAAAACATTATTATTATTATTTATTATTATTTGTTTCTCAAAATTCAAGCAAAGGTAGCTGCCTATGTATATAATGATGGCCAATCATTTACATGTAATTAAATAAAATAAATAAATTGTCAGAAAAAAAATGAATTTTTTTCTTTTGCCAATTCCAAGAAATTCCACTTATTATTCAAAGCTTCATTAATGATGAATAATAATAATAAGCAAAATTTCTACACACTTTTGTTCTTAATTGCTTCGGTCCATGTTTGTAAGAATATAATTGACAAATATATTAGTGATTATGTGACACATTTAGCCTTTCATTTTGGCTTTATCTTCATTTGAGTTAGTGCATGAGATGAAACAATAGACGTGTCCATGACCACAATGTCGTTTTGAATCAACGACTACCCTTATTTACTAGGGCTTTTTGCATTTGGACGAGGCCTTTTAATTCTCGTGCTGATCTTGGTTGTTTGTTTGGTTTACATACGGTGAGAGGAGGAACATTCAAATAATTTCGATTTTCAAATATTCAGACAAGTATAAAGTATTGAAACAATTATTAATTCTAGTAGGTTTCACGACAATCCTAAACTTTCATAGTACCTTCTAGCTTAGCACATGATATAAACAATACATTATGTTACTTTTAAACATGATTTTGAAAGAGATTTGGTTCTGAATATGATGAGCCTGTTTTCCGGTACTATGCCTAAAGCACTCTCAATCAACATATCTCTGCTAGCTTGTGTGTCCTAATGGAATTGGCAGCTCTTTTTTACACTTATTGATCAATACAAGCTTTGAAATCCCTTACGCTACAGTTACTATAAGACAATCTAAGGCCATCGAAGTGAACTATTCCAGAATCTACATCTGCTGCCTAAAGGGGGGATGGATTCCAATAAGCTTTTTATTACTGGCAACAATGATCTCTCCATCTAGAATTGGAATCATCTTAATTTACAGAAGCTTACTGAGGTTTTCGAGTGATTCACGTCGTTCAAATTGCATTGCTACATATGGAACGGTTTCCTCGGTGTCGGTGCTCGGTTCTCCATGGACTGCAATCTTTGCTTTAGATGGAATACCTCCACCTGCAACCATACAATTGATGACTGAAAAAGTAAATATTATGTTGAAATATGAAATCATGAGCCTATGATGGGAACTGAATAAAAACGTATGATGAATGTGATCTTTATAAACACCAACAGTGAAAGTACTCAGCCGAGCAGATACCGAACACTAAGGGATCAAAGTTTGGGGATTCAATAGAATTTAGATGTCCTAGTAGTCCTAGCCATAAAAGACGGATACTAGATGTCAAACATAATAAACTTGTGCCACGCATAGATCCATGGGGCAAGGCAGGGAGAGGATGGGGAAGCCTTCCTCGTTTCCATCCCTACCTTTTATTTCATTTCTCATCCCATAAAATTCTCGATTTATTTTTCTAGAGATCAGAGCGAAAAATTTACAAGGATCGGAGTTCCCGTTGAGGACTTTTTCCTAGTATATATATATTCTTTTCAAAAAATGTTTTAACTGATAATATTTATTAAAAAAATGTAAAACATAAGAATATTCTAAAAATATTTCATAAGAAAAAAATATAATGTTAAAAATGCACATTTAAATAATATAATATAATATAGTATTCAACATTTCAAAAAAAGATTTTTATTTATTTACTAAATTAATAAATAAAAGATAGTTTTGGTTTTGATATACATCCCAAAACTAACTACTTCTATATATAAAAATGGAGCGAAGGGGATGGGGATGGAGAATGTAATCCCTGCCCCTGTCCCCTCAAACGTGGAAAAATCTCTCCCTACTTCCCCGTTTAGACCGGATTCAACCATGTGGTCCCTAATGCATTAAATAGTATGACTGAAGACTACGTTCTACTAAAACTGAAAGGGAGACAGTTCCAGTTAGTTGAGTACCTGTAGTTGGAAAGCTCTAGACCTTTCTCCAGCCAGGACTCCTCTAGTAGAGTGAAGTTCCTACAGCAAAAAAATAATGTCCAATACTTGAGCCTCATGGTACTTAAATTCGTAGGTATACACGATACGACCATGGACCGTAACACGAGATGAGTATAATACCTTCTGGGTGTCATCTAAAACTGCTTTGAGGAAAGCAACATCATGTTCAAGGCGTACATTGTCAGAGTGGACGATATTTGAAAGACTGTTAGCCTCTTCTTTTGCTATTTCTACTCCTGCTAGCTTATCTCTCAGCATTTCCATCTCCTTTATCATATCAGCTATTCTTTTCTCCATCTCCTGACGGATCTTTAGAGCAGAGGATAGATTTTTCTCCACGGCTTCTCGGCTTGCCATTGCTGCTGCTAATTGCCCTTCGAGAACTCCGTTCTTTCTAATTAAGGCTGCCATTTTTGCTTCATAGAATTGATATATACTTGAAAAAGTTGATGATGCTACTATTTTACCACTGTTTTCGCTGAATAGATCAGTATTATCGATTGGATGATATCCAACTCCTTCCTTGAAGGGATTTGAGCTTTCATACTCGTATACGGAAGGCAGTGTGTCCACATGGAATTCACCCCCAGATTGAGTCAACTTGTTTTCTGTTACCTACCCCGACCAACCATGTATGAACTAAATTTTCTTAAAAATAAACACAAGGATTCACAATTGTCAAACCCAAATCACATTATATCCAACTTTTTCCTAGTGAAATATTCAGACAGGTTAGTGGGGGCTCAGGGAGAGAGGGCTAACTCAAACAATATCCTACAGTGACTGGAACTTTATCAAACAATGAAGGTTACGGACTGAAGAGCAAAGTTACATAAAATTAACAAGGCCGGTAATATCGAACTCATTAGTTATTACTCGCATAATATAAAGTGATAATATAACCAACTCGAGTTACCTGAGAAGTAGAGGAATCATCTTCTTGAGTCTTAGCTATCTTAGTAGTTTTGTCAAAGGCTTCATCATTATGAATTTGTTTGCGCAGTGAAATGTTTCCAGGAATAGAATTCGTATCGATAAGTGAGGACTCTGAAATGGATTTTCTGCCAGAGCCATGTTCAATAGCGGATGCTAGATTTTGTCTAGCAGTCGAGTCAACTGAACGTGTGAGGAACCATTACTAAGTTTTTCATGCAAAGTTGAAAAAAAATACATGAATTACAAAAAGTTACTGGGATATTACTGGGATTGGATCGGTCCCTCAAAGATGGTTCCTTCTTTTCCATGGTCAATACTTCAACCTGGGACAACCATGAAGGGAGAATTATAAGAAAATAATTTAACATTTCAGCGAGTAAAAAATAATACTTCATATAATATTGAATCTTACCTGATTTGATGGCTCCTTTTTTGATCCCCCAAAGGCAAGAAGAAAATCCTTCTCCTTGTGCTGCACGAGCACTAAGCTGAAACCCTAAGAACATATCTATCTAAGTATCTATTCAATAATTATTGTTCGCACAAAGTAAGAATTTAGTTATTGACACAATATATTAACTTCAAATGATTACGCCTCAGAAAACAATTTTTTTTAAGAACAAAAAACTATATTTATATTAGATGGTATATGATCGAAACACTTATACAATCAAGGTGTTAGACCTACATGGAAAGTGTGTGATTATGTGCTACTAGCAAAATAATGTCTAAAAAAAACTGTTTGATGCACCCAGTAGTGAAAAGAGATTTAGCCTTAATTTGCATCCCGGTAGTGTGTAACAGTTATTGTTTCAAGAGAATGTTCTGCAGACTCCAAAACACAAAGATGTGCACTAAGCAGTAATCATCCACTGAGTACACCGCAACAGTAGATTAATAATAATAAAGTTCCATTAAGAATGTTATTGTAGTCTTCCCTTCTGTAGGGAATAAAAAGAAGCAAATTCAAAATCTTCCCCACTTACCTTATTGGCGGTGACAGAAGATGGAGGTGATATGACAGCAACGGACCACTCAAGTTTCAGTACATCAAAGATTAAAGTCTCAGCATGTCCTGGGAGCAGATGGAAACAACGAGAAAGAGAGTAATCAGATCAGGGTAAAAATCCATTAAATCACATTGCTTTTATATCTCAAATACGACACTAAAAATTAAGCAAGAGATGAAGTTCAAGCATTTGCTTCTTAGAAAATGAACATACTCTTTTTCTTGCTTCCACCGCCTGCTATGCACCATTTAGTTCCACAGAGAACACCACAGCTACCAGCTCTTGGTGATGGATGGAAACCCCGTACCTTTATTCTTGACCACACCATCTGGCAACGGTACAAAAATAGTTCTACATACAATCAGGATTATTCCGGATGACATTCTGGATTACAGACTGGGTTAATTTTGTAATGAAAAGCATGTTAACATACTGTTTCAAAGTCAAGCGAGTATAGATCGTTAAGGGTCCGGGATTTTGATGTCCCTCCAAATATAAGTAGAGTTTTATCATCATAAAGAGCTGCCACATGGTTGGATCTTGCAGATGGGCTTGTTCCACTGACATAGATAAGGAAATATAAGGAGCAGAAGAAAACTTCTAATATCCCTAATAGTGTATAAGAAAATGGAAAATTAAAAATTCGGTTTCGGGAAAAAGTACTACTACGAATTCAACCAATGCCAAAGTTACTCACGTGCAATGCAGAGGGAGCCAAGTAAAAGATTTAAGGTCAAACATGTGAAGGTCGTTGAGTTTTCTCCTCCTACTGTCTTCGCCTCCAAAGAGGATTAAAACAGAGCTAGCTCTAACTACAGTGTGACCACTTCTAGCAACCTGCAACAATTAAAGTCGCTCAAATTTGCTACCTTTTACAATTAACCTCATTTGCAAACTTACATGTGTACATCACAATAAAACCTATGGTGGAAATGATATCAAATAGAATTAACCATGAAACCGAATTTTAAGAGCTTCAATGAAATTAGATGATCTATACTCAATAAGTTTATATTTCCAGATATTAAGATTCAAAAATTGAAGAAGAAAAAAATTCAAAGAATTAATGAAATCAATTCATCACTAAACCATTTGAAGATAATGTGCTAAATGAATATGTGGACAAAGACTTCCACCAACATTTAAATTTTGACAAAATAAAGAAAATATAAAGCAGTACAGGTATATCTCCCTTTGCTTCCATCAGCGACCAGCATTCTGTCAGTGTGTCAAATGCCCAGACTGCAAGTACATCAAAGATTAGCTTACAAAATAAAAGAGGAGCAATATCAATACAAATAGTAGAATAATAACCTGCCACTCTCTCATTTCCTGGCTCTGTCTTGCCCCCAACCAGGAGAGCTTTCTTCCCCCAGGAAACCTTCAAACACGAGCAGAACTAGATTTTAGAGGTACAAGTTGAACAAAAATAGATGTCATAAAGAGTGCGATAACACTGTGCTGAGGGAATAAAATGATAATATTTTGCAGTAGAACTCATTTCCATAAAGGATGCTTTAATAGAATATCTTGCTCTCAGCTTTTCTCCTACTCTAAGTTGGTACTTTTTTAAAAAAGAAACTGCGTTAGAATGTACTGGACACACAAAAAACAAGCCCTGAAAAAAAGAAATAGAAAACTAACCCTAGCTACAGAGAAGGATTCCAATCCAAAAGAATATGAACAAGCTCTTAATTACAAAAAAGCCTAGTGACTGATGCCCACAAGGAGACATTAAACCTAGTCATCTCTCAAACTTCCTCACTCGATCTCTCTACCTCTCTGAAAATTCTATTATTCCTCTCAATCCAAATGTCCCCCAAAACTGCAAAGAAGCATTAAAAAAAAAAAAAAAAAAAAAAAAAAAAAAAAAAAAAAAAAAAAAAAAAAAAAAAAAAAAAAAAAAAAAAAAAAAA